GTTTCCTGGACTCCCCCGTCAGGCACCTGGCCCAGGAGCAGGGAAGCTGCAAGTGGCCTGAGGGCAAGTGAAGCCGCTGCAACTTTGGCCTCTACTGGTGCAGATGAGGTGAGTCAGCAGACACACCATGATGAGTGTGAGCTATGAACAAGACTGCCGACTTACTTCCTGCCTCCGAATCTGGGCATGGGACTCTTTCTTGCGGTCCATCCTGACCAGGATGGGAATTCTGGGAGTGTTCAGCCTAGCCAAGTTGAGGTGGGCCTCAGCACATGTTTTGTCTATCTGGCAAAGAGCAAAAAAATGTGAAGGCTCCTTGTACTGATGAGGGGGAGGCGACTGGGCTCTCTCGGTAGGTTAGGGTAAGAGTCATTGAGCATCACTCCAGGAGGAAAATGCATGTGCTGTTTAACCAGCCAGTCCTCTGGTATGAACTGCTCCTGCAAGTAACCCTGGACTTATTTACAAGGGACAACAGTGTTTGAAGAAGCCAAAGACTGAGCACAGCTTCATGCCCACCAACCGGGGACTAGTTAAGTAAACTTTGAATTCTTTATTTATTGTAGTAAAGTACATAAATACATAACGTTTACCATCGTAACCGTTTAGAAGTGTCCAGCTCGGTGGCATTAAGCCTTTCACGGTCTTGGGCAACCATCGGCATCATTCCTCTGCAGAACGTTTTCATCTTCCCAGCCTGAGACTCTGGCCCCATTAAACACTGGCTCCCCATTCCCTGACCCAGGCCCCGGTAAGCTCTATTTTACTGTCTCTATGAATTTGATGACTCTAGGAACTTTGTATAAGAAGAATGGTACAGCATTGTCCTTTTGTGTCTGGCTTATTTCACTGAGCAAGATGTCTTAACGTTCATCCGCGTTAGAGCCTGTGAACAACATTCCACACATGGGTGGACCATGTTTCCTTCACCCCTTCAGCCATCCGTGGACACTTGGTTGCTCCCACCTTTTTGGTGATTGTGAGTAACACTGCTATGAACATTGGCCTATCTTTTTTTTTTTTTAAGATTTTATTTATTTATTTGACAGAGAGAGACACAGTGAGAGAGAGAACAGAAGCAGCAGGAGTAGGAGAGAAGCAGGCTTCCCGCCGAGCAGGGAGCCCGATGCGGGGCTCGATCCCAGGACCCTGGGATCATGACCTGAGCCGAAGGCAGACGCTTAACGACTGAGCCACCCAGGCGTCCCGAACATTGGCCTTTCAGTTTTTAAAAACCTCGTGCCCACAGTATTGTAAGGCCCTTTTCTCACCCCTGCCTCTGGCATTATAGAGAAACCAACTGCTGCAACAAACAGACCCAAAAATGTATTATGGTTTAATCCCAAGTTTGTTTCTTGTTCCGGTAGTAGTACTGGATGGGTGAACAGGTCAGTGAGGGAGGGAGAGGGTTCCCTGCCACATGTTGGGGACCCAGGTTGGCACGGGGTCCAGAGCCACCCTCGCAACAGAAAGATCTTGGAAGGATGCGGGTGGAGTGTTATGGCTCAGGCCTGCAAGTGCCCCGTCCTTTTCTGCTCACTTTGCACGAGGAGAACTCAGTCACGTGACCACCCCAGTGCAAGGGGCGCTGGGAAATGCAGTCTAGCGTGCAACCCGGGAGAGGTATCTGGGTGTCGTGGGCTGCTCTGCTGCTTACAGGCACCTACTCAATCTCACTTCCCTAATGGTTTTTGTCCTTTCAAGTTCCACTGCAATGGGACTCCTCTAGGAGGCATCCCTTGATTTCCCACTCCCAACACATGCTGCACTGAGGATCCCCTCCCTGCTGGGCAGCCATCGCAATGTGAGCTCCAGTGAGGACAGAGGTGGCCCAGGGCAGGCACTCAGCCACCCCAGGGCTTGCAGAAGGAACCAGCCTGGCCAAGGAGGGGGCCCTGCTCCTCACTGTGCTGTATTGGCCCCTCAGCCCTATGCTCCCCACTGCGTTCAGCTAATGGGAGGCCCTAGTGGGAGGTCGGAGGGCAGGAGAAGAAGGTGCTTCGCCCATCTTGGGCCTGTGGCTCCTGCTAGGGCCCATGGGCCTGCACAGTTTCTGCTGTGAGGTTCCCACTTTTGTGAGCGCCGGGGCCTGGCTCCGGCACCCTCCTTCCTCTGTCCCTCAGCCCAGGGCTGTTGCTGGGGTCCTATGGTATCCTCACCAGCTATTTGACTTCCCGATTCTCTCATCCCTGTGTTTCTAATTCCCTGGATTTCTGTCCCTCAGGCCCTGACCAGTACAAAGGGTAGGGGACTGGACATTGGCTTCTGATGCCTTGGGACTGTGGTTTGGGGAGACCACTTCCCAAGGTGGTGGTCCCTGCCTTTGAGGTCTCTAAAGGGAGTCTATGTGGGGCTCTGGGACCTTCTGCCTCACACAGGCCCAACAGTGCCCCTGACTCCCTACAGGCCCCTGGGAAAACCCGTCAGGTGTCGGGGCTTCCCAGCCTGGCCTGTCCCTGGCACTGGGAATGCCAGATGTCTGGGGCCAGGGCCACAGACAGTGCACCCCTTCTCCTGCTGGGGATGGGTGGGGGCAACTCTCGGTCCCAACCTGGAGGGACAAGTGTAGGGTGGGGAAGCCAGAGGGAGGCCATATTTTACTCTTTTAGGATGAGGCTTAACCGCCACTGGCTGGTGGACCAGGAGCCTCACTATTCCTCAGACCGGACTGCACTTCTTTCTCTGAGCCTTTGCCCAGGCTGTTCCTCTGCCTGGAATATCCTCCCTGACCAATCACATCTCTGAGAATTTGACCTAGCCTTTCAGTTATGGCCCCGGAGCTGTGAAGCTGCCCCTGCCCTCCTGGGCCCTGGTGTGCCTGCTCCCACAGGCCCGGGCTGCCTCGACAAGGAAACCACCCCGTCACCCACGGGCTCATGCCGGGCCCAGCACTGAGGACTCAGGTGGGTGGAAGTGCCAGCCCTGCCTTACCTCATCTGCAGAGAGGAAAGTACCTGCCCAGTGGCCAAAGGGCCAGCCCTCAGCCCCACCCTGCCCTGAGCGGGAAGCCAGTGGGGAAGCAGGGGGATGGGGCCTGGAAGGGCAAGCACTGACCCCATCCCCCTCCTTTAGTCTCTGGGGTACCACTCCAGGGAGACCCCCCAACCCCTCACTCTCATCTCTGTTCCTTTGAATGTGCCCCATCGTGCAAGACTGCCTCCTCCAGGAAGCCTTCCAGACTGCACCTGCCCCTACGGCGCAGCTTTCCCACCTCTGCCCAGGACCCTCAGCCAATGGCAAGTCTAACGGTGTGGGGAAGCTTCGCTTCTGACCCTGGCGGTCGGAGCCAGCTGGATGGCCTGTGCTCCTGAGACCGGGGGATGACTCAAGGCCCTCTTAGCAGAGACAGATGCAGAAGTGGGCCTGCACGAGCCTTGGCCAAGGTTGTGACAAGCCAACTGGCCCAGCTGGAGCGGCCGCTCGCTGACTGCCCTCTCCTAGGACCTGGTGTAACTTCCACCTCCCATCTCTGTTCCTACCCTCTGCTGCCCCCACGTGGCCTCTGTCAGCACTGCAGGTCGCAGGGAAGAGGGCCTCCGCTCATTACCTCCCACCCCAAGGTTCTGCCTCCCTTGGGCAACCTCCTCCCGCCCCTACCTCCCAGGCTGAGCCACTGGCCTGGAACAGGGGGCACCAGCCTCCAACCCTGCCCTCCACTCTGCTTTCGCAGAGACAAGCCTGGCCCTATCCTATGCTGCCAAGGCCCTCCCATGGCCCCCACTCAGCACCCTCACTAGAGGGCAGCAGTAGCGGGAAGCCTGGGTAAAGAACCCAGGGACCCAGAACATGGGCTCTGGTCAGGAACTACCAGTCACTGCCTACCTGCAGGGCAGTGCTGGTGCAGGGGAGGGGCCCAGGGCCAGGCTGGGCCAGCCTGCTGCTGGGGGAAGGGGCGGGTGCCTGCGCTGACCCCATCCCATCTCCTGGGCACCCAGCATGACACTCCACCTGAACCCTTTGCAGACACTTGCCCCACGAAGTGGCCACCATTCTCAATCCCACTTTTCAGTGGAGACAAGCTGGGGAGGGACCCACCCCAGGTGGCCTGCCAGTGGACTAAGGTTGCTCTGGGTGCTGCTGGCCCCACAAGGCAACCATGGAACTCTCCTGAACCGAAGTGTAGCATGAGCATCGGACACCAGGGAGGGGGCACCACAGGCTTGTTTTCTCTGGGTAGACAAGGAAGGGTATTTCAAGTGCCATTCCAGTAGAGTTAGTTAGAAGTGCCATTCCAGTAGAGTTAGTTAGAAGTGCCATTCCAGTAGAGTTAGAAGTGCCATTCCAGTAGAGCTAGAAGTGACATTCCAGAAGGGTTAGAAGTGACATTCCAGAAGGGTTAGAGTTACAAGCCTGGAGCTCAGAGAGTGACCCTCCACACTGGGGTCCTGAGGCCTCTCCCACTCAGGCTGGGCCAAGTCCGGCGATCAAGGCAGCTGGGTGTTAGGGCTCCCGTGCTGGGGCACCGGGGATCAGTGGATCAGGCTCACAGGTATCCGACACGGGATCTGAGGTATAGCATTTGCGTTTCAGGTGCCTCCGAGTGTTGGGTCTCCGGAGACAGGCGTTAGAATTCACGGGTATGGAGTCTGAGGAATTGGAGCTGAGACTACACGGGGACTAGAGGACCAGATGCCTCTCGGGAGCTGCACGGCTAGAGCCAGGTGGTCCAGGTCTGAGGAGACAGAGCAGGGCACCAGGTCTGGGGTGCACGGACATTAAAGGCTCAGGTTATCAGGTGTCCAGGTCCCAGTAAATGGTGCTAGGGATTTGGGGATCGAAGTGCCGGGGTGCATGTTCTCCGGGGTGGCCCCATGTACCTCTTGCTGTTGGCCAAAGGCGCTCCCTTCAGGGCTGCGAACCCCAGCTGGCCCTGCAACAGAGACATGGTCTGGAGCAGACATGGGGGGCACTCCGGAGCCTCAGGAGAGCCAAGGAGGGGCACAGACAGGGTCCCACTGGTAGAACCCTGGGTCCGGGGGTGGGGGGCGGGGGCGGGGGCCTTACACGTTGCGCTTCCTGTGACGCAGCAGCACATAGATGAGAGCGACCAGAGCCACCACTGCCAGGCCTCCGAAGATGATGCTCAGCAGCACCGTGTAGCTCCGCGCTGGAGAGGGGGCAGAGTGGTGAGGGCTGGCCGAGGGCGGGCGGGGGCGGGGGGCTGGGGCAGGCAGGCAGGGCATCCTCACCTGGCTGGCACATGGGGGTGGGCCTGGACCAGGTGCCATCAGCCTGGCAGGTGCTGGCCTCCGCCCCAAACAGGCTGTAGCCGCTGTCGCAGTGGAAGGAGACGGTGGAGCCCGACAGGTACCTGATACCCTCCTTGTGCCCATTGGGGGGCGGAGCCAGCCAGCCGCAGGACGTCACTGGGGGTAGGGGGCCAGGAGCAGACCACAGGATGAAGCCACTGGCTGACCACCCCTACAGCTGCCGGCTTAGGAGGTCATGTCCCAGCATCAAGTGCCCACCCCATCGCCCTCACCAGGCTGCAGGCTCTGCACGCGATGCTGGTGCCACTGGTGGGCCATCCGCGTAGCATTGCCCACACTCAGGTTCCCAGTGGCCATCACGTCGAACATGCAGAAATCGTTGTCTCCACACAATTCAGCTGCCTCAGTGGCCTGACTGGGGTCGGGGACGGTCTCCTCGGGGAACAGGGGCTGAAAGCTGTAGTCATGCTTGGACTGATACAGGAAGTTGTTGACCAGGAACCAGGAGTCATAGGTGAGCAGAGATGAGGCGTTCTCCACGGCCCCTGGGGAGACACGCAGCAAGTCTTGCTGGTGGCTGAGGGTTCTGGGGTCTCTCCCCTCACTTCCAGGGCCATGTCTCCCCGCCCCCCACCCCCAGTGGGCCTCAGGGTCACTCACAGTCGGCCCCAAAGTGGAAGAGCTCGCGGGAAGTGGCCTTGTGGGGCAAGACCTTCCCGTTGCGCAGGGTGAAGTCATCGGTGGGGTCATCATTCAGTGTCCCGAGAAGGCCTTGTGTGTGGTTAAGGAACTTCTCAGGCAGGAGGACAGTCACACTCAGGAATGGACCCTGGATGCTGACCTCCAGGCCAGCACCTGATGACAGCATGATGGATACGCTGTCCTGGGCAGCTACGGACAGGAACATACCTGGGCACAGGTGGAACTGGGGTCAGGGCTGCCCACTCAGGGCACCGTGCCGTGACTCCACAGCCCCAGGATGAGAGGGTCAGCATCCGTGGGCTCCCAGGGAAGGGGAGGGCGTCCCCAGGGCCAGCCCTGCTGTGACACTCCCTCACCCCAGGCCCACATCTGTACTGGGACCCCCACACTGACACCAAGTGCCCAGGCTCCGAAGGGAACCCTCACACTGAGACCCTGCCTGGGGGTCCCCCGTCGGCCCTCACTCCTTGAGGAAGGCAGCAGCCATGCCCACCTCTGCCCTTCTGGGGGTTCCCTGCAGCCTCAGCAGCAGCAGGCCCATCCCAGGTCCCCACCCATCCCAACCGCAAGAAACTCATTTCATTATCTCAGTTCCCTGAGGCAGCACAGGGAAGGGGGTGCGCAGGGGGCTGCTCCTTTGCCCTCAGGGCCAGCCAGCATCCTCAAAGTAGGCAGTTCCTATTATTGCAGCTTCCAGCAACTCGTCCCACCGTCCGGGCATCTCAGGGTTCTGATCACATGTCTGGGGCTCCATGGGTGTGAAAGCACGAGATCAGACCAGGTCCCCAGGCTGGACCTCCCTACCTTGGGCCCAGAACCTCACCTGCCCAGACAGCCGTGGGCTGGGGACATGTGTCCACTGTGCTGGGCCCTTCACCGTGGGGTGCAGGGGAGTGGGGCAGACTTGTATCACTATGCTGGGGACAGCATATGGATCATATCGAGAAGCCTCCATCTCCGCATCCACGCTCTGAAGCCCAGGGCCATGCTGGTGAGAGGCATGGAGGCTCAGGCGGGAGGGAAAGGGCACGAGAGCAGCCCCAGGAAGCTCCCCGGCCATCACACTCACCCTTCAGGTCCATCCAGCTCTGCTCGGTGAATCTGAGCACCTCCTGGTTCAGCAGCACCTGCAGGACCCGCCCCTCGCCAGCCAGCCGGACCTCCACCACGTCGGAGTTGCCCTCCTGCACAGCCACGGCCACCAGCCCCGTGCCCCGGTCCTGCGGGCCTGCGGTGGCGTGTGCAGAACGCAGAGCGCTCAGCTCCAGCCTTCCTCCTGGGAAGGCCCTGAGCCTCCCGGAGCCCGCGGGGCCCCAGCCTCACCCTCCGAAGTCGTCCGGGGCTGGGCCCGCCCCTGCACCCTCAAGTTGGTCAGCGTGGCCTCCAGCAGCACGTACTCGCCACGCCCGTTGAACGAGAAGTTGGCACCGTCGAAGGTGACAAAGTGTGGGTCCCCGAAAGCGGAGGCTGGGGAGAGCAGAGGGTCAGGGGGGCCGCGCGGGTGCAGCCCTGCCCGGGGCCCAGCCTCGGCTGGCACCCACCTAGGCGCGACGGCCGGTAGTTGCGACAGTCACTGGAGGGCCGCCGCCGCATGTACCGGGAGCACTCGGGCGCCCAGAGGCAGCAGTGGTAGAAGCTGACGACATCATAGAGCCAATGGGAGAGGCCAGGCACGCGGGGCGGTGTGCGGAACGGGGGCGCGCCCCAGTCGTGGCCGCGGTCCGGGGTGCTGCCCCCGGTTGAGTCGGCCGTCAGGAGCAGGGTGCCGGCCTCTGTGTAGCAGCACTGCTGGCCGGAGGCGTACTGGGGGCTGGGGGCGAGGACAGGTCAGGGCCGCTGTTGGGGCCCCGCCCCCCCCCCAACTGGGGACTCACCTGGCTTGCACGGAGCGCACACAGTGCACCGCCCCGGGGTGGTAGGTGCACACGCTGCCGCGCTCAATGTCACAGCCATAGTCCGTCTGCAGAGCGGGAGGCTGCTGTCACCTGGGCTAGCCTCAGGCTCTGCCATCCCCTCCGTGGCAGCCAACCCCTGAGGGCCCTCAGACCCCAGCCTCCCCTCCCTGGGGCCTCTATCTACCGCCCCACACTTGCCAGCCTCCAGCTGGCCCCTCACCCTCTCCTGGGCCCCGACTGGGGTAGGGGCTTACGTGGAAGCGGCCCGAGTCAGCCCGGGCCTGAGCCAGGGTGCAGGGGCAGTCAGGCAGCTCCTGCAGGAAGTTGGGCAGTTGGTCCTCCAGCTCTTCCCAGGCCAGGCACTGGGCCCGGGCCCAGGCCTCGGGGTCCGCCCGGAAGTCCTCACCCAGGTGCCAGGCCAGCGCGTGCTCGCTGCTCCAGAGCGCCTGCACGTCCCTGTGGGGGCCATGCATGCACTTAAGGGCCGCTCCCACCCTCCGTCCCGCAGCCCCGGGCCTCCCTGTCCAGCCTGCGGAGCAGTGGCCCAGGCCCAGCAGCCCGTCCTCTGTGTGGCCGGTGGCCCTTACTTCTCCCCTGCGTAGTATTTGCTGTTGATGATCCGAAGTGCACCCACTTCCCATTTCTGGTAGGTCGGAGGTGCAGGTTTCGGAGTGAAGGTGAAGAAGCCAGAGTTGGGGATGCTTGTGGCCAGGGGGTACAGGTACGACCACTTTGCTGCCCACTTATCTGAATAGGGCTTCCCTAAGGGAGAGAAGGTCTCAGTCAGCCCCTGGGGCCCTCCAAAGAGTCCTGAGGCAGAGGAGGGGCCAGGCGCCTGTCTTTGGTGCTCGGAGAGGCCTGACAGATGGACAGACAAGAGGATTACCAGAGGAAGACCTGCCCTGCTGCCCCAGCAAGGATCCTGGCTCAAGGGACCACCATCTCCTCCTCCCACATGTTAGGGTCCCAGCCCCAGCTCGAGGCAAGGCCTAGAGCCAGGCTAGCGGTCCAGGGGCTTGGGGAGGCTGGGTGGAGCAAGCTTTTTCTGTTTCCAAGGCAAGCCTTGGATCCAAGGGCTGGGAATGCCCATACCTCCTCCTGGAGCTGGGCGCAAGCAGCTGGGGGTTCCCAGCCTGCCCCCCAACTCCCACACTTTCCCCAGTCCCTCTTTCTTGCCTGTACTCTTCCTGCTCAAAATCCCCGCTTGGGGTTGGGCCCTGCCTGGAACCTCCTTGCTCCCATCTCTGCAAGCCCCAAACTCCCAACCCTATGGGCCCACGGAGCTCCTCCGCCAGTCCAGCCTTGGGCCGGCCTTACCTGTCTCCTCATAACCCCAGAGCTCGATGGTGACAGACTGCGTGGACAGAGCCGAGGGCTTCCAGGTCACGGTGAGGTTTCCCGTGACGCCGGCGGTGCCATAGTACTGCCAGTGGGTCTCGTTCACCAGCTCGCTCTTCTCTGTCTCCGACACCTTGCTGGGGTGCACTGGGCAGGGGGTGAGGTGAGCGAAGGCCTGAGGCCCCAGGGGCTCTGCGAGCTGGGGGTGCCCTCCCAGGGACGAGGTGTGGCAGTCCTATTAGAGCATGGTCTCCCCCGGACCCTCGTGTCAGGAAAGGACAGAGGCTGTGGGAGAGGTGGGGCCCTGCCCTGTGTTGCCCAGGCCTCTGGCCTCCACCTGGCTTCCCCCCTTCCCCTGGCCTGGCTGAGTCGAGTGGCCCGCCTTGCCAGGGGACCCCTGAAGCCCCCAGCCCCCTTTTGGGCCGGGTGTCCTGTGTGGATGCCAGGGGCTGGGGAGAGGAGCTTGAGAACGCTCGCCCCCGTCGGGCGCACCTTCAGAAGGACTGGTTAAGCCAGGGCAGCCGGGCACTGCCAGGCAGGCGAGGCGTGCCTATATTAGCGCCAGGGAAGGTCCCTGTGGGGGTGGGGGCCAAGGCTCAGGAAGACAGGGCTCACCGGCTAGCCAGGTCCCCGAGCGCGGAAAGGAGCGACCATTGTCCATGGAGAGTGTGAAGGGGATGCGGCCCGTCTCATAGAGCAAGGGGGACACACAGTGCACACGTCCAGAGGAGTCCACATGCCCGAGGGTCTGGATGCTCTCCTTAAACCTGTGGAGGTTGCAGGTGGCAGGAAAGGCTGGGCCTGGGTGGGGGGACCCCAGCCAGGAGCTGCCCCTGGGCCCCCAGCAGGCACGGAGCCCCTCGGGCCTCCCACCTGCAGATCACACCATCGGTGGGCTTGAACCAGCTGAGGTGCTGCACTACGAAGTCCTTGCCGCCCATCATGGAGCCCGAGTAGGGTGAGACTTCTAGGCAGAAGTCCCGAAAGTCCAAGCAGCAGGAGTTCAGGCCGGAGCAGGTCGGGTGGCAGGAGCACAGCCCATCCTGGTCTCCACAGCGGTGGGAGCAGCTCCCCCTGGCACCTGCAGGAGAGGGCCCTGAGCGCCCGGCTGCCCCACGGGCAGGGCTGGCGATTATTTTCCCGGAGCCCACGAGAGAGAAGCATCCCCAGGAGTCGCACTGACCACCAAGTGAACACAGTGGAAACCCAGGGGGCCCGTGGGGTGAGGGATCCTTGGTACAAATGATCTAGCAGTTGCCTGAAAGACTCGCCAGAAGGAGGGAAGATAAGGGTAAAGGCCTCCAGACATATGTTTTTGCAGCATCAAGAGGAGCCTCTAGGGCAGGACTGGCCTTCAGCCACCAAGTCCCGGAAGACCGCATCCTCAGATGGCCAGAGGTGGCTGAGCCCTTGACCTGGCCTGGGAGCTGTCTCTATTCCCTGAAGGGTCTGTGAACCCAGCCTGGCGGCCCGTCTGGAGTCTGGGGACATGGCTACTAAGTCCCACTGGAGGCCTGGCAGGGGCTCATTCCCAGGCTTGGCTGTGGCCCCCAAAGGACCCCCACCCTTAAGGGAGAGGAGGGTCATCTCCAGCAGAGGGCCCAGTGGGGCCAGGGTGAGGGAGAGGGTGGTCTGGTGTGGGGCCGTGGACATCAGGCCTCAGCTCTTACCACCACAGGGACCCACAGCAGGGCCATATCTTCAGGGAATCTCTGCCTCTGTAGCGGAAGTGGTGGGGCAGGTTGGAGGGTGGAGACTGAGGGGCGACTGAGACACCGAGGCAGGGATCACACGTCCCACCTGGCCCTTCCCTGCCACCCCACCAACGGGGGCCAGTCAAGGGCTGGGTTTGGACCTGAGCCACCCCGGTGACCCCATTTCACCCAGTGCCGGGCCTGGCACTCAAGAGCGTCAATAAATTTTTATTGATAGATGGCTCAAGGGAGTGGGGGAGGAGGCCGAGTGAGGCCAGTAAGTGAGGTTAAGTGGCTGAAGGGTGGTGGCACTTCCCTGAGATGGGAGATAGGGGTGTGGTGGGGGTGGTTGCCTGGGAGCGTGCCACTGCCAGCCCAGCCCAGCCCAGTCCAGCCTAGCCCAGCGTGAGGTTCGGGAGTAGGAGCCTTCCCCGAGACTTTCCCGGGTTCAGCCCCACCCTAATAAGGACCCACAATCCTGCCTCTCACCAGTGAGGGGGCTCAGTAGGGCTGGGGGCTCCTCCACCTGTGAGCACACCCTCCACGGGGGCTCGGGGCTGCGGGCCAGGGGCTCTCCTGAGCCCTCCACCCGCCCCTGGGCCACCTCCCTTGCAGGTAGCCGGCACCTCCCAGCTCCCAGCGGGTTTAGGGTAGGCACAGCCCAGACTCCATCCCGCCAGCAGCCCCCGGACCCTGGGCACCCCCAGAATTTCTTCTCACAGCCCCCAGTACAGTCCCAGATGGCCTGGCAGATGGACACAGGCTGAGCAGAGGGGTCTACCCCGGGCTTGGCTGGAGCAGGGAGGCAGGCAGTCAGAGCCCGGGCTAGAAGCGCAGGGTGGGGGCGTACCTGCTGCAGGCCGGGGGCCCGGCCCGGGGACTGTGTCGAGCAGCAGCAGCACGGCCCAGAGCAGGAGGGGCAGTGTCATGGTCCGGCCTGAGTCTGCAGCCTGCAGCGCGGCAGTGGCTGGGCGGCTGCGGGCCGCCTAACTCCCCTCCGCCTGGCCCCGCCCGCCCGGCGCACAGCGCTGCCGCCCCGCCCCGCCCGGTCCCCTCTCAAAGTCCACAGGTTCCCTTGGGGGCCGGTCGGGCCCAACCTGCCCCGTTAGCACATTCCTGGCCCGCCAGCCTGGGACACGGGGGGAGGGGGTTCAAGCCTCCAGGGGTTGGATCCCCATGTCCAGAGGCTGCGACCCAGACCACGGGATCCCACCTCTGGCCCAGCCCGGGGCAGCCAGGGTGGGGCTCCAAGCGGGCTGGGATTTGGCGGGGTGGTTCTTGCAATCTCAGGATTCTAGCGCCCAGGGGCCCGCAGCCACAGACCTCTCATCCCTCTTCCTCAGCTTCCCTGCCCAGAGCAGGTATTCCCAATTCCTCCCCACAGCCTCGCAGGGAGTGGGGAGCAAGTAACTTCCTGGTGTGCATGGGTGCTGAAGGAGGGCTGGAGGAGGGGAACCCCTTTGGTGGGGAGGTGAAGGCTGTGGGAGGGGCCCAGCCAGGGCAGGTTAACAGTGGGTTTGGGGCTGAGACCAGAACCCCCTGCTCTGGAATCCCTGGAGTGGGGAAGGCATATGAAACAGGGCTCCGGAGAAGAGCCACCCAGCCCCACCCACCCCTGGCTATCATTCATAGAATTTGCATAATCTCTTCCATGTTCTCCCTTCTCACTGTGCCGGGGAGGAAACGGAGGTCCAGATGTAGACAGGTGGGGTCAAGGTCACTGGGAGGGGCTGCGGTGCTGGGCCAGGGCCCAGGCAGCTTCTCGGGGACTCCCACTCCACTCCTGAGGCCTGGGACTCACTTGGGCCCTGCCACCTGGGCTGGGTGTTCAGACAGACAGATGGTTCTCTCTCCAGGGGTGGCATCCAAAGGGGACACATCCCCAGACCTCGAAGGGAGCTGAAGCTGGCGGCGGCTATGAGCTTAGGCCACCTGGCTGTGACCCATCTCAGTTCCTGGGATCTGGCCAGCCCCTGTTCCCTGGGCACCACCCCTTCCTGTCCGGTGTGTGGGCCTGCAGTTTCATCAGAGAGGCGGCTCCTATAGGTGTCAGGAAAGCCAGTTGGGGCACTTAGAAGCCACATCTCCCAGCTTGGTTGCCAGGTGCTCAGGTCACCCTCTGTAGGCAGGTGTCGGGGACTGGTGCTGGGACTTTTCCCAGGCCCAGCCCAGGGTCGAAGGTGTTCCCTATGGCCCAGGTTAGAGGAAGGAAGATGATAGGAATGCTCCCAGGATGGATCCCAGGTGTCCTGGGGTCCTGAGAGCCAGGAAGCCCTGGGAGACTGCTGGGCTGTTCCCAGAAATTCCTCTTTCTGGACACTCCAGTCTGAGAAGCTAGGAATTTGGAGAGGGGGCATCAACTGAGTAACTGCTGGCCCCACCTTGCAAAGAGCCTGAATCGGGGCAGTTTTGGCAAGGGTCTTTCCAAGACTGCTCTGCTCCTGGGTCCCCATGAGGGCTCTGCCAGGCGTGCGCTGGGGACCCTGGCGGTGCCCAGCCCATGAGGGGCACAGGGCAGCAAGGAGCATCCCCATCTCCCTCCCGGACAGAGAGCCTTTCCAGGGAGACCCCTGGGGGCAGGGCCAGCCCAGATCTATGAGGGGAAGACAGCTGGGTCCCCAAAGCACCGATGGGGTTGTGAAGGGCTGGTTGGGGCCCCCACAACCTGTGCCTCCCCAAAACAGATGTACTTGGAGCCTGAGAGAACAGAGCCAGCATCGTGGGGTTTATATGATGCTCTGCTGTCACCTCTAAAGAATGAATTTTTGGACAAGGAACCCCCATTATGTTGCACTGAGCCCCACAACTTATATGGCCAGTTCTATCAGAGGGCAAGTGTGGTGGGAGGTAAGTACCTTTCCTGCCAGCCCCCGCGTTCCCCTCCCTGACACTGACCCTACCTCTCAGGGTCCCCTGCAGCCCCCTCCTCCCACCCCTGACCACACTCCACAGGGGCACACCCCACACTCTTTGAGTCCTTCAGGGGACACTCTGGAGACCCCTTCCAGGCCTGGCTCCAGTCCCACCCAGAGGGTCTGCCCTGCTTGGCCTGTGCTCACCTCTCCCCACTGACTCACTCCCCTCCCTCCAACCGCTGCCTGATCCTGGGATGCCCAAGGGCTGGTCCCTGACCAACAAGAAGGGCCCAGAAACCCTGGACAGCAACCAGTTGAGGGAGGCCCCTGGGGGTTGAACAAAGAGGCAAAAACAACTGTTCCATCTTTATTAGAAAAGAAACCAAAAAAAGGGGAGTGGGGTGAGCCCAACCCTAAATGACCCCTCCACTGTGACACAGGCAGGAGCCGGCTCATCCGGGCGTCGAGGTGTGGACACGGCCACCTGGGCTGGGCGTGGGCACGGTTATACAAAGTCAACATTTCATAGAAAAGGATGCCAGCCCTGCTGTGTGAGCTGTGGCCATCTTCATGTGGCCAAGCTCAGTCTCCTCTGGGCCCCCATGCGGTGGGGACAGACGACGGCCCAGGCGGGTGGGGAGGACACCGCGAGGGATGGAGGCTGAGCAGACCGGGACGTGTGTGGGGAAAAACAGTGCTCCGCCTGGGCCTGGCATGCCCCGAGGGGCTCAGGCCAAGGGGAGGGGGGCGGCCCCAGCCCTCAGATGTCCATGTAGTCGTCATCCTCATCGGTCTCGCTCTCCAGCGAGGACTCCTGGCTCGACGTCTCCAGGACCTCCAGGGCTGGCTGGCACAGGCTCTCCTTCCGCACGTTGGCGGCCGACTGGGCAGACAGGATGGCCGACTGCACACAGAGCGGGCAGGGAGCTGGTCAGGGGTGGCCCGGGCTTGGCCCCAGTCCCGCCTATAGGCCACGTCCCGCCCACGCCCCCCACTCGGCACCCGTGGTCACCTTCAGCTTCTGCTTGGTCTCCTCCGAGATGCTGCCTTTGGGTGAGAGCAGGGTTGGGGTGGGCGGCGTGACGGTGATCTCAGGGGGGAACTTGGTGGCGGCCGAGGGGATGACCAGCTTTGGCATGCTGGGCAGGAGGCGCGACTTGGCCCGGCCGGGCTCTGCCTTGCCGGGGGGGCCCTCGGGTGGCTGGGCACTCGCACCGCTGGGTACCTTGGAGCTGGTGACTGTGGGGTGGACCGTGGGAGCTGAGCCTTGCTCACAGCCTCCTGGGCCTGCCTGCCCTTCCCTGGCTCAGTTTCCCCTCTGGAAGACAGAGGCAACCAAGAACGCCTCCTCCTGCCGCGTCAGACCGAGGGTGCTTTCTCTCGACGTTCTGGTGTGTGCTGGCCGGCGGGCTCCCGGCCTCCTGTGTCTGCTCCCGGCCTCCTGTGTCTGCCCCCCGACTGCCTGTCTGGTCTGGGCTGGGGGTCCCGGGGACTAGGACACAGGCAAGCCCCTGGGGCTTTCCCAGGGGTCCTGCAGGCCCTCCAGGGGCTGTGCACACACGAACTGTTGCATCCCTGCAACAATCCTAGGACGCATGTCCTAATGGTGTCCACACCCCAGGGAGGATGCGAGGGCCCGGAGCCAAGTCGCTTGGCCCCAGGGCATCCACTTCCCCTCCGCTCCAGAGCTGCATATCCCCAGAGCCTGGAGGCAGCAGTTCCGGGGCTGGCAGCCTCCAGGAAGCTGTAAGAGTTAGGAGCCCTGGGGTCAGCCTGGCTGGTCTCCACATTCCTCCGAGGTCCCATGGCTTTAAAAGGAGCGGGGCTTACTCAGAGCCCACGCCTGGCTCCGAGGGGCTGGCAGCAGGCCCTATGCCCTGAGTAGGGTCGGTGAGATCCTTGAACCTAAGGAATTCCCCAAGGGGGGCTGGCCAGTTGGGAAAGGATGACTACGACACGGACAGTGGTCTGGCAGGACTGGCCACCCCTCTGCCTGCCCCTGACTCCTCCCTCCGCACATCAGCCCTTCCCTTGGCCCCCAGTCTGGGGAGGCTCCTCCCTGGGACTAAGCAGCCTCAGCTTGGGCTGGCCACCGGCCCTCGCTAGTCTCTGTGGAGCTGGAGGTAGAATGAGGGGCTCTCCACTCCCCAGCTCTTCAGCCCAGGCCTCCCTGCCCAGCTGCCACTCCACTTGGCTTCCCCACCACTGGGTCCTCCCAGGTCCCCCTTGGCCAGCTGTTCACCCTGTGATTCCGCCCCCCCACATCCTTCCAGGCAAAGCTCCCCTGGCGGCTCCCAACTCGCCTTACCCTGGCTACAGGTGGGCTCGGCGCCTGTCCGGGACACGGGTTCTGTGGGCCAGCAGTGCGGCTCTGCTGAAGGGCTCTCGGGGATGGTCTTCACCTGCTCACTGCGCAGTGGCTCCTGGGGCGGGAAGCCCAGGCCCTCTGCCCCTCCTGCCAGCTCTTCTCCCTCTGTGGGGGCATGGGAGGGCCGCAAGTTATGATCCTCACCCAGCCTGGAAGACAGGGCCCCTCCCTCCTGAACCCTGGGACACCTGGCAGGGGACCTGCGCTGAGGCAGCTCGCCACCTCCACCGGTGGACCAGCAAGGGCTTCTCTCGAACAATCACATGGGTGGGGCCAGGCTGGTACAGGCAGGAAACCACTCCCCCTCCAGGTGGACACTGGTGGGGCCCGCTCCCTAACTGGGGTCACTGTGTGCCTGACACAGCAGGGGCAACATGGACACTGTGGGGCCTCCAGCCCCATCAAACACCATCACGGGATTTAGAGGTGGGCTCACGGGCTCTCTCCTCTAGCTCGTGGGAGTGGCACTCAGAAACATAGTCAGGACCCAAAACCAAACCAGCTAGCTAAGCCCAGAGTGGATGGAGTGGTGTGCTGGCACCGTGCCCTCCCGCCAGGCCACACCTTCCCTGGCATGAGGCAGGGGCCGGGAATTGGCCTCCTCTGAGCCAAGGCCTGATGGGCCCGAAAGGTGCCCGTTGCGTCTATGGCTGCCAGCCAGGCCGTTAGTCAGCATCAGTCCCCCGGCTCCCAGGCCCCGGGGCCC